GCCGCCTCGAAAGCCGCGACCGCCGCCAGAAAAGCGCCCAAAGCCACCGCCACCGCCGTTATTCATTTCATCGCCTTCAGGTTCCAGCTCCGGTAATTCGGTCAACTTCTCCAATACGAGACCGTCCCCATTCTGCCAATTTTTCTCAATTGCAGCATTGTGAACATCAGGTACATCAAATACGAAGCCCTTGAATAACAATAAATAAAAGGATTATTTATTCGAGAAGACACGAAAACAGTGTGCATGTTTACAGCAAAGACGGTTACATCTAACTCGTTTCACTAAGACTACTAATGCAAGGAAACAATGTCGAAATTTATCACGTATACATGAAGTATCTCTAGATTTGAATTTAAAATGGAGCGTGGCAAACAAACTACACACTATAACTCAGGCTACAAGTTCAAAAAATCGTAAAGGTCACTCACATTTCATATTTTTGAAGATGCAACCCAACTATATGTCACACCGACCAGATGTGCGTGGTAAATGCAGTACACTGTGGACCTTTAAAAACTTCGCGGGCGAAACTATCAACAAATCAGGGCGATTAAGATAATGAGAATAGATAATCGGTTGCTTGGACTACGTGACTGTTTCCCTTAACGGTTTGTTTGACCTTGCATGTTCTTAAGGTATTGTCCTCAAAGACATAACCCAAGATTGTACCAGAATTTGCTATCGCGGTCACATCGCTGATATGGGCAGCGAAGATTAGCTCAGACAGCACGACTATTTCACTACCCAATCCTTTTATTAATTTGTGGACGAAAAATGACTTCGATTGGCTTAAAATTGAATCGCATATAAATACATTCCCCGAAACATCCTTAAATAGGATTGGATGGGGCATCTACGTAGATAGTACCAGCGCTTGTCGGTTTCAATTAATAGTGTCGGCATTGTTGCGATGGCTGCTTACAAGGCACAACCCGCCAAATCTACACTTTTCGCCTTCCATACCAACTTCGAAGCATTTGTACGAACATTCACCGGACAGCAAAATGAAGAGGAAGCATCTTTTGTAAATACCAACATGAACGAAGGTACTTACATTGGGACTGCGTATATTTGTCCAGCCGGTATGGAATACCTTAAGCAAACCTATGAAAACAGCATGCGCAGTTACACTAGAGACAAACAAAACTGTAAAGCCATATATCGCTGACCGAGAGGTCAGCGTGGCGTTCTTGAAATTATTGATTACCCTACGTGAGGTCTGATGTTACTATACAAGTACTTCATGTTGGTATAAACTATGTCGTGCCGCCCAGGGGCAATATTGGCACGGTTTTGCAGATGTAACTGTTATGTGCACATGGTAGTTTAGAACTGCTAACTGGCTCTGAAACACACCGCACACGCACAGTACCCGAGGCAACCGGAAGTTGCCCACATTTCTTAGCGTCTACATACCTGCAGACGGCAGAACGGATAATGATGTTTAAGGCTGTTGAAGAGAATTTAAATAATAATGATAATAAAACACTTTTTTGCGTTGGGAAGGCAAACTGAGCTGCTGTTAACGGCAAGAGCACTTGAACATTTTAGACGCGTTTGTATGATTTGCATTACTTACTGAAAATTCCTGTCCATACCTAGGGATGGACGTATGTTTCGTCTTTACAGCGGCCTCTGGGGTGAAAATTCTTGGCAGTAAGAACCAGCCAATGTAACTGAAATAAGCATGAATATCCACATGTCAAATTAATCGACAAAGTACCACCGCACTAGCAGATTCGGACACACTAGGTCATCGTTTCAAGCCGCCATAATTTGATTTGCAGTTGGCTTACATATTACTGATCAATAATTCGGGGCTAATGTTAGACACCGGAAACAGGAAATAGTAGACAAGGACCTCAATTCCGCAACACTTTCTCCAACCCAATTTGACTAAATACAAAAATAAAACCATCTCAAATTCTGTGCTGAACTGGAAGGACTTACGGTTCTGCCCTTGGTAAACAGAAGGTTTTTAATAGTCTCCGTGATCTCAGGAGAAAGTTGTTGGTTGAGGAGCGAATAGGCAAGTCCCTTCCGATGGGCCGTAACGTGTGGAGGAACAGTGAGTTTGTAGGCAGTTAAGCCAGCTTGAGCAGTAAGCATAGATCTTGCTTCAATGGCTTTCGTCTTGCCAGATATTCTTGCCAGCGCGCAGCAAAGAGCCCGTTCGCATTCGGTAACAGACTTTGACTGGTCTGCCTGGGAATCATCGCACTTACTTTTTCTGGACTTCTTTGACTTCTTCATGTCTACATCTCCAACCTCTCCGTTCTCTTCAACAAGAGATGTGTCTGTCTGAAGGTCGTCTTGTTTACTCTTCTTCAGCTTTTTAGATTTCTTCGATGGCTTGACATCTTCATCTTCGTCCACATCAAGCCCGCTGTCGCCTTTGGAATTGGATTTCAAAGCACTGACTATATACCGAGCCGCAGGTAGAAAAACTGACCAAGTTGACTCAGGCAATTCCGCAAAAGACCTACAAAAAATAATAAGAGACAAAGGGCAGTGAATTATGAACTGCAGTGGCAGAGTATGTGCAATAGGACAAGATATAATCAGGATTTATATTAAACAAACGACATAATTCGACTGTACACTTTCGATTTCAAATAGGCAGGTTTGACACTAATTAAAATAGTACTAAATTGATAAAAGTACTAATTTTCAGTCATACAAGCGATAAGTCTGCGTATCACTGAACAATTGGGTCGAACCCTTTACGCACGTCCGGCTGGAAACTTCCCAGCACAATACATAAGCATAGGCTGAAAACACCAAAGACACGCACGAAGCAGCCGAGATAACTAGAACGAGGGAGTATGTACTCCCCTGGCGCCGAGAAGTGCCAATCTTGGCATCGAGCAGACGCCTTTATGTCAAGGAAATGTTTGCGCTCACAAATAATTTGGACGAGATGAGTCAGAAATCTATATAGATTATGTTAAATTAAGCAGTTGAAAACTGTGATAATCACTTAAAGAAAATCCTAACGGCCACTTAACCCCTTTTAACTACACGGATAAACACATTGGGAAAAAGCAGAAGCTTGTTAAAATTCGACTCGTGGCAACGTTTTTTTATACTATGAATATAGTCAATATTGTCCTGGTTTACTTGATAAAAAGAAACTTTACTCTAAACATCATCAGACGACATCAATTGATGCCCGTTTTATTTCTGGTGAAAAGCGAGTTAAATCGCTGATGCTGATACTCAAGAATAAGGAAACAGTCGGAGTTTACTTTGAGCTGCTAACACTTTTAGTTCATATGCAGTCTTAAAGATTGAGGGGCATTCCAAACATAACAGCATGAGAATCAGAACCAGAACATACCCTGAAAGGTCCTTCGCCCAAACCTCAACAATATCTGTTGCAGAAGGAGCTGAAATCCTGCGGAAGTGAATGCCTGTGCCATTTTCGATATAAGTCAGTTGTGGGCGTTGTCTCATGCTATAGAAACAAATGCTGACGCCTTTTCTGCCTGCTCGTCCTGTTCGCCCCGACCGATGAATATAGTCTTCTACTGATGATGGTGGCGCACAATTGATAACGAGTTCCACATCGGGAATGTCCAGGCCACGGGCGGCGACATTTGTGGTTATAAGTGTTTTGTACTTCCCATCGCGAAATTTCTGTATGAGAAAAGCAAAAATAATTAACCAGCCGTGAAGGTACCATAAAAAAACAAGGTACATAAAATGAGGCGTGCAACAAATAACTCCACAGAAGCTCTACAAATTACGATAAAATACCTGAAGTATAAGCTCGCGCTTGTCTTGGGGAATGTCACCATGAAAAACATGACAATCGGCCGACATTGCAGAATGTGAAGCAAGCTCATCGGCTTCCTTCTTTCGTTCACAAAATATGATGCATCTAGAAGATGGACCATGAGAGTACATCCGAATGACATCCGCAATGGTTGCAGCCCGCTCGTGTGGAGGACATAACAGAGCAAGATGCTAAAGAAATGTGGAATATATGACGGTTACCTCAACTGTGTCTACGGTACGGGTCTCATTGTTGTTAACCAGAGTTACGCGATGCGCATCCTTCGAGACATACTTTTGGGCAATCTTAGATACCCAGCCCGGAAGGGTTGCAGAAAACAAAAGCGTCTGAGGTTTAGAAGACCTCTCCTCGTCGTAAAGGCTGGCCAATATTTGCTCAACGTGAGCACTAAAGCCCATGTCAAGCATCCTATCCACTTCATCCAAAACAACAAGGCGGACAGATTGGAGGTTCAGTGTATGGCTCTCTAATAGGTCAATCACACGGCCGGGGGTACCAACAACAACATCTACGCCATTCTTCAGGGCTCGGTCTAACTTTTATTAGGGGATGAAATACACTTACTTTGAGCTTGATAAGGGACCCCTCCATAGACTGCGAGGACCGACAATGAATTTGATGATATTGAATCAA